AACTGATTTCAATTTGGAGTAAGCCAGATTAATTAGTTGTGTTTCAGATGTGCAAGCAAAATTTAAAAAAATCAAGCGGAAACAATTCAATAAAAAATAACCTTCTTTAAGCACTCATAACTTCAGGGACAATAAACATACTCGCAAATATTTAAAAAAAAATATGTCGTTGATATCTTGTTTGATGACTGATAGTTTTCAAAGCCACCGAACTTTGCCCAGATGCAAAACCATAGCTTTATACGAGACAGTAAATTGATTAAAACAGAAAGTTCGATCACGCTAAGCAATGTATAACAAGACTACTCCTATACGAGGGCAAAGCCCTGAATCTTCAGCTGCACTCTCTTGTCAATAACAAGCTTTTGTATTAAGAAATTCGAAAAAAAAACAATTGAAATTTTAAAAAATATATTTTTATAACTTTTATCCCCTACAAGCTATGTTAAGTACCAATTGATCTTTTTTGCTTTGCGCGGGACAAAGTGTTAATAAAGCACATGGCATGCTTAAATTTGCTTGTTTTTGCTTCTTACGCTTTAATAGAACGAAGTATAACTCGCGATTACTATCCCAATTTGAATTATAGTCTTCTAAGTAATCCCAAATTGAAACCATTTAATCTTTGTGAAAAATAATCTTATGTGAAAAAGTTTTTCACACATTTGAGCACCAGACAGCGATATTTTTCAGATGCTTAAAAAGTCAACCAGAGCAGCTTAGCTAAAAATGACTGGTATAAAAAACCATCACATGCTTAACTATTCCACACTTTTTGAAAATCGGAACAATTGAAGAGGTTTAGTTTTGGATTTATATTTTTGAGGTTTTGATCATGTTTTGATAAAAAATGATCAATTCATTGCTTTTTTATTTTAATATGAGCATAACATCTTCACTGATAAAAAAAGCGTTCTTCAAAATCAGTTCGGACAAATTTAGAGTCTATTAAATTTTTGATAACAGACAGTTAAACAAAAAGTATTTTTTCTTAAGAAAAACTGCAACCCGGCAGCAGATAATTTGAGCTGATTTTGTTGAAAAAATTTTAAAAATACGGTATTTTGATTTTCAAAAAATCAAAAGAAAACCCGAAACTAGGATTAAGAAACGTTTTATATCAGCACAAAAAAATTATCACTGCAAGTTTTATCAGAACATTTCATTTAACAAAAACTGTTGTTGATCAAATTACCTGACGGAAAAACGATACTGAATCCCAAAATATTATCATTAAAAAAGGTGTTTCAAAATTAGTGAATTTGTTAGTATTACCTTTCTTAAACGACATTTTTTTCAAAGAAAAACTTGAATTACTTTTTAAACTCGAAAATTTACAATTATAACCAGAAAAAAAAATTAGTTTTTGTTTGCGTTTTCCAAGTTACTTTTTTTCCAAACACTTTCAAAGGAAATGACGGAATGTTTGTGTTCGGAGTCGTTTTTTTCTTCAGACCAACTTTGACTTTTTAACTAGTCATTTTTAGTAAAATTGTTTTCACCATCTGAAAAATATCATTGTCTTGAGCTCAATTTTAAAACATTAGTTTACCTGTTGTCATTTCATAAGGGGGTTTAAAGATTATCAATTTGATCGATTTTGTACAATTAACGCTCGATATCTATTAACGTGCTATCTATAAACGCAGGTAATTTGATACGGCTTTGAAATCGCTCCAAATTAAATTGCGGCGTGCTATTTATTTTTTTAAAACTATTAAACATCAAATTTCTTTCTCTAATTAGCGCGTGAGGTGATGATTTCAAAAAAAAATCATTACTTTATTTTCTTTTCATTTAAATACTATCCCATAGACGATCAATGGCATACAGTCATTCATGACGTCGCCCTGATACAAGCAGTTGGTTTGCTATTTTTCCCGGGTTATTATTGATTAAAAAACATTTGTTAGTGGTCATAATTCAAAAAAAAATCTGATTTTTACTTCCTGAAGTGTCTTTTTGAAGAACCGTTTAGAAATGTTATCTCCACTTTCAAATAAATTTTTAAAATTGATTGAGGGTTGAGTGCAAGTGATCGGAACTACTCCTGATAAATGTATCAAAAACTGGATTCAATGGTTTGCCTGTTTGTTCCGAATTATTTTTCAAAATCTGTTTTGTATTTTCCGCACGGCGTGAAATGGCAAAAGTGGACCAAAATTTAAAATGTTGTCACTTTGAGGAGTTCAAATTTTCGCTGACCGTGTTGCACATTACTTGAAAACAACTTTTCTTTCTGTTTTAGAGAATAAAATTGCACTGATGATTTTATAGTGATATTGGAAACTGCCATTTTCCCACCCAGAACAAACTGATAAGAATCTGAAAACAAATATTGGTATTTTGACAGGGAGTGACTTTGATTATTTAGTTTCGGTGGATCTATTTTCCTTGAAAATACTGATATTTTACAGTACAGAGTGGATTGCTGGACTTGCGTTTAATTCTGTCCTTCAGTGTAATTCATCTAAATCTTGTATTTTAGATTGTTTTTGTACATTTTGCATACTGTTTTTTGGAAACATAAGAATCTTTGCATCTCCAATGATTACAACTGTTACTCCGACCGACAGTTTAGTGGTAAAGACTTGGGGCTCAATTTTGGTTTCGTATCACAACCTGTTATGTCATTCTGAAGTGCAGCACCATTTCATAATAGTCGCAGTAGGTTAGTTAGCTCAAATTGGTTACATTTGCTGTTTTTTAAATTTAGTTTAATTTTGAGATGCTTAAGCACTGAATCTAAAATTGGATATTCAAAAACAAGAACTTGTGCATTTGAAGCATCAGCAAGATTGATAAAACAGTGCGGCGTTTAAAAGCAATGCTGATTTAAATTATCCGGACAAACACAAAACTAATATAAATGGGAAATTCTTAACACGTTTTTTTTTCAGCATGCGTTGAAATTAGGTTAAAAACGATAAGAGCAATAGTTACGCAGAATTTCACCAAAATTTTTTTTTCTAATTGGGACCCAAAATTTTACCCCTAAACAGGTTATTTTGGCTACGCTTAAATTACCAAGTTAATTAATAACCAAATGTTGTTTAACCTATGCAGCCGTTCAAAGTTCAAGAAGGGTAAAACCTCCTAAATTTTGTATAAATAAACTTTTGTTTTATTAGGCGAGGCTACAATTCGTCAAAAGAGACAACTGGTTGCGATCGACAGCTGGTAGCTTTGAGAAAAGGCGACAATTCGCCACAAAGCGACAAATAGTAGACATTCTCTCCTGTGGCCTGGCGGTAGGCTGGCTACGCACGCGTCGGTGCTTTGCGCCGATATCTGCCAGGCATTTCCAGCCGATATCCGCAAGTTCTGGCAAGCGCGCAACACTTGATTGCGGCATACCAGTTGAATCTTACTAACTGTCATTGGAGCGAGTTGTCGCTTTTTCAAAAAAGTGCGAATTGTCGCTTTAGTCCAATTGCCGCTTTCGACCAATTGTTGCCTTCGATCAGTTGTCACTTTCGACCAATTGACGCTTCACGGTTTGATTAATATTCAAAAAATGTCCTTCTTACTAATTAAAATGACATTTCTGTTGTTTTGTATGGAAAAAAATCGCTGAAAGTTCAAAAACTTTCAGTTAAAACAATGGGGATCAACTATGCAATTCCCCCCATCCAATCGATCTAGGGGGACAAAGTACCGGTTTTTCAGAAATTGACTTCAAGAATAAATAATCTAGTCAGTCAAAAAATCAATCGATACCAAATTATGATTAATCTTTTTCGCTATGAATAGGATAAAAATAGCTATTCGGCATGAAAAGTTTCCCCGGCATTATACCCGCAACGAGCGCACATGGATTCTAATCGATTATAATGGATTTTCGAGACAAAAATAATCCATTATGAACCATTACAAATGTTAAAATCAGACCGCAAAATCTATTATATTGCCATTCTTTTCGATAATTTAAAAGAAATCTTTTTTTATTTGAGTCTTATTCACTAGTTTTGGCTCTAAAATTGATTGTTTTTTTGCCACAGTAATCCATTATAATCCATTATAGTCGATTAGAATCTAGCGTTTTTTGGATCTATTTTCCATTATTTTTTCCTTACTAATTAGAACAAACTACTGAAAAACAAATTTTTAACGTTTAACGCTAGCATTGGAAGTTTTTCCTCCTTTAAATTTAGTGGGCTGCATTTGGAGGCTCATTTTAATATAAGTTGAACAACAGCTCATTTGTTAGTTTGCACGGAGTTGTTTTTGTACTAGAGGGGACCAAGCGGCCCGTTTTTGTGGTAAAACAATGGGTTTGAAAATAAATTAGTTTGAAGCATAATAAATTCAGGTAAAATACTACGCATTTTATTCTCAATCCTTACCTATAGTCAGCCCAATTTTAGAAAAATGGCCGTCATAGTATTCAATTCTGCTCATTTTGTCCGGATACTTTAAATCAGCGTTGTAATTAGTATCTAAAAGTTCGGACAAAAAAAAGTAAAAAGCAATTGATCTTTTCAGGTAAAATTCTGGATGCAAAAAATTCTTCATGAAAAATTTTTCTGTCAAGGTTGTCTTAAACATCAAAACATAATTTCTGTCTATCCGAACTTTTTGCAACTCTGTAACTCCCTATACTTGCCAGAAACCAGCTGCTCCTCTTATACTTAAAAATATGAAAGTGTTAAGTTTTGTCCTTTTTTGTTTTTAATTTAATCTTTTTAGTACAACAAAATGGACGAAATCTCAATAACTAGACCCCCCATAATATAAAAGTGGGAAATTCCTCACAAGTTACGAAGTTCACATATGCTTGAACTGGTGCTAGGTGGTGATATAATGGGTGGGGAAGTTGTCGAAAAATCCAAGAAAACTACTAACGACGCCTCCGCCTTTTTTGGGTCCTTTTCTCTGTTTTCTTTGTTCAGCTGTTTCTTGAAGAAGTCGTACTCTATAGTGAGTCTCTTGATGTCCATAAGGAGTGCTGTTCTCTCTTTCAGGTAGACTCCGTTGCCGTATTCTGCGTCCTTCTCTATTCGGTATTGGCTGCGCCTTGTCAAACTACCCACTGAAAAATCAAATTTGGAATTTATAATAGCCAAAAAATTCAAAAAGGCAGTTCCATTAATAAACTGCTTGTAAGCATCTAAATTTCATTAAAAATCTAGCTTTCATAAGTTTAAAATTACTTTGGGGTACCATTAAAGCCTTATGGACTAGGGCTGTAGATCCTAAAAGTTTCTAAAAAGTTTTTTGGAGTACCTTTAAAGCCTTATAGGCTGGGGTTGTAAGTCTTAAATGTTTCTGAAAAACTTTTGGGGTACCATTAAAGCCGGATCAGGTTAACATCCTCCTCCCCCCCAAATAGACCAAGTTAAGATCTGAATTTAAATTAAATTTGTTAAGCGCTGCATGTAAAATGCTCGATTCTGATTGGCTGAAAATTCCCAGCTTACAACCAAGTTAACATCCTCCCCCTAAACGTGTTTAGGGGGGAGGATGTTAACTTGATCCTTAAAGCCTTATGGGCTAGGGCTGTAAGTCTTAATTGTTTCTAAAAAGTTTTTTTGGGGTACCATTAAAGCCTTATGGGCTGGGGGTGTAAGTCTTAAATGTTTCTGAAAAGTTCGTTTAGAGTTGAAAAAACTCACTGGAAGATGCAGAAGCTTCAGTTTAAAAATGGGGATCAACAGTACAATACCCCCCTCCCAAATCGATTTACGGGCGATAAAATACTGGTTTTTCAGAAATTGACTTCAAAGGCAAAACAAATGGATCTAATAAGTAAAAAAAATCAATGAATTCCAAATTATGATTACGTCTCAAATGACATAACTCCAAATGCCATAAATTTCATGCAACAGTTGCATTAAAAATCGAGAAAAATTTTTTCGTGAATCCAGTGAGAATATTAGTCAAACTGTCAATTCAAATGTTGATTGACATTTTATCTTGTACCAATTATAGAGTTTTCTATCAAAAGCGAAAAACATAAGCTTGCGGTTATTGATAAGCTTCTTGTGGTCAATTTGTCCGACAAAATGTCGCTTATTATTTGTTTGGAAGCAATTAACTTCAAAACTTGTTCACATGTTTTCTTTCCTGGCAAAACTTTAGAATTGGAGATTGATAGAAAACGTTTGAATTACAGTGAAAACTTGAAATTTATGCCATTTGGGAAAGTTTCTTTTTTAAGTTATTTGAGGATTGTGCCATTTGGGAAGTTACCCAAATTATGATTTACATTTTATACTATTAACAGTAAAAAAGCTTCTGCTTGAAAAAGTTTCTCCAGCATTATATTTAGCGCGCTTAATGAATTTTGTATGCGGAATTTTCCAAATTAATACATGCTTGGGGAGGACATTCTACGGTAGGTCACTTAAGAGCGAGAGGATTGTACGGTTGACCAAAAATGGAGAAGTAAACCCCCCCTATTCATCAATACACATTTATAAAAATTTCTAAAATAATTTCAAATAATATAGGTGAGATGAGTATAAAATTTATCCGCCGAGGACAAAGTTAGGTGGTACGGGCAGGGATATGCTTATAGTTTCTTGGCTGATTTATACTTCGGCTGGGTTCAGGGGCGGATCTAAGATTATTTTGAGCTTTGTCGACCTTTCTTTTTATGTCAACTAAATCGATTTTCGAAATTTTCCAAAACACTAAAAAGACTCTTTTTGGCATTTTTTGAAAATTTTTTGATAGTTTTTGAAAAAACTTGTTTGTGCGCTTTTTAATTTTGAGCTAAAGAATGAAGTCCCACCTTCAAGTAACCAATATAATAACCCTCTGTTTTTTTTCAGAAAGATGTTTGAGTTTTAGTAACCTTGTTTGTTTCGCTGTTCTGTCTTCACATCTGACTGGGCTGCTCTTTTCTGGATATATTGGGCACTATTCGCTGCCTTCATCTTGCACCAAAACTAACCAATAACCGCAGTTTATAACCTTTTGATAATTATAACCTGTGAAAATCAGTAGCGTGTTTATAAAAGATGGGAGCATAAGCGGACGCCATATCAATTGAGGTAACCAAATTCATAAAAAGAGTTTTTGCATTGGTTTTTTAACGACATCCGCTTTAACCGACTAAAAATCGACTGAACCGTCTCAAGTTTATTTTGGATGCGGAAACGCGGGAAAAAATATGCCCAAATTGATCAAAATAAATGTCACAGGAAGGCTTCTTTCATCAAAAAGCCACTTTCATCCGAAAAACAAACAATTACATCAATGAAAATCATAACTTGAAACAGTTTTTATGAGCTTATTGCAAGATTTGATAAAACCAAAAGCGAAAAAACACGTGGTTAAAATTTTATAGTAGCCTTCTCCCAATATGTTCAAAAACTGCTACACACGCCACTGGTTAAAAAACGTCCAGAAATAACACAGGTACTTGGTTCAGAATATCCAAAGTAAAATATTATAAAAATCCTCAATAACACAGCTTGTGGGTAACTAAATTTAACGCAAAATGTATAAGTAACAGAGACTTCGAAATTTAATCGGTTGATCTCAGCAGTAAAACGCTTAATATGGTTTCAATTTTAAAACCACTTTTTGAATGACTGCATAAGAATGTAATAATGAACTGAAGTTTATGAGAAAGGCCTCTTGATCATTGTTTGCTTAATATATTATTCTGTTATTACATTATTACATAAAATATTTGACCAGCTTTGAGCACCGTCATAAAAATTATGCTAAAAAATTCGTCTTTCAAAGCTTTGAATAATCGCAGTTAGAAATTTTCCAAGATAAATTTAGATGGATGGGCTTAAGTAAAAAATTGAATTATAGCAGATTCGTAAAATTTTGCTTCTATTTATTTAAAGCAAAATGCAAAAATTCAATTAAAGAAATTACCGCTGACTAGGGACAGCCACATTCATGCGCCTTATGGAGCTGATCCTATAAAGTTTTGTTAATCATTACAAGGCCAAACTGTGCACTGGATAGGCTCACAATTTTGTGCCTGTTTGTTCCTGGATTCCATAGACAAACCTTTAAACGTGTTCCAAAATGTCAGTGAATTCCACTTACAAAACTTCCGTGGATTCCGTGTACAAATACCTGTAACGTAAATTTTGTCGGCACATTTGTTGTGCCGCGGATTCCGCAACAAGCGAATATAGCTAGTTGTTCTGGATTCCGCAACTGTAAGTGGATTCTACAAAATGTAAGTAGAATCCGCAAATGTAAGTGGAAACCGCAAAATGTGAAAGCAGAATCCGCAAATGTCAGCGGATTCCGCAAACTGTAAGTGGATTCAGAGTTTTGTCTATTACTGAATTTGCATATGAATAATCGAAAGCTAGATCTGGAATTCTTATCTATAGTAATATGGAATTTAAAGGCAAGGGCTTAACCATTGTCAGCGGAATCCACGAACAAATCTCAAAACATTTGTTAACTAAATCGGTGGATGTCAGCTTTTGAAATTTTGGAAGCACAACACCGAATAAATTCACTTTTTGGAGTCGTTGGGTCGAGAGTGTATGGAAACACAACACACAGCATATTGCCAATTTAGGTCAGTTTTTGGGATTGCGTCAATCCCAAATACTGATTTTGGAAACTTTACGCCGAATAAATTAAATAATTGTAGTCCATGGCTTGAGAGTGTTTGGAAACACAAGGCACTGCATATCGCCTAGTTAGGTCAGTATTTGGGATTGCATCAGTATTTGCGATCGAAGTTCAGATCAAAGTAGGTCAGTATTTGGGATCGGTAGGTCAGTACTTGGGATCGAAGTTGACAGGATTTGAGATCGAATTTGGGTTGACAGGAACTGAGAACAAACATTTCAACTGGTAGTTGATCAATCCAGTAATAGTAATTGAGATCGATTTTTTCTGTTGACCAGTAATTAAAAGATATAATTTTAAACGCTATACTACACATATACATATATTTAAACGGAATCCGCAAACAAAATGCGGCTTCCATTTACAGTTTGCGCATTCCTTTTAGACGTTGCGGATTCCACTTACAGTTGCGGAATCCGCAACAGCTCAATTTAACTATACAAATGTCTTATTAAATGTTTGTGGATTCCACAAACTGTTCTGGATTCCACAAGTACGGTTGCGGATTCCGCCAAATTGCTTTTTTGGAGCAATTTCGAGCGGTACAGTGTTTTAGGTATTTGTTTGCGGAATCCAAAACTGCAAAGACGATCAAAGAAAAGTAGCAAAGTTGCGGATTCCGCTTACAATGCACAGAATGCACAGTTTGACCTCGTAATGATTGAAAAGTATACATTTGGATCGAGTGCATCCCTTCAGATAGACCAAGTTAAGATAAAACAGCGCGAGTTGATGAAAAGCTTGTACAAACTTAATGTTCTACGAAAAAAATCTGATTGAATGTAACAAGGATAGCCGGTTACTGTGCAAGTAGTACAGAATGTTCCAACCAGTCTTAAAAAAATTACAATTTTTTTTTCAAATTAGTGTCGCTTTTTTGGCGTGGCGTGATAAAGGAATTTGAGCGAAAAGTAGAACTTAGGTATTTTCGTCAGTCATTGAAAAATATGCAAATTGGAAAACAGTTTTTGAAGACAAATAACAAGAAAAACAAAAAAAATTAATCATCGGGTACCGCAAACAATCATCGGACTGGATTAAGTGATATATCTTATCAAAGCCCTTTAAGTCGTGATTCGAACAGATTAAAGAACTTCAATAAAATTTTACCACTGTCAAGAAAAACCGGTCCGAAATTTTTAATTTTTCGCCTAACTTCGAGCGAGTGAGCTGACTTACATTAGCTTATTTATGTTTAATTTAAGCCTTGAATTTTTATTTTTACTCAAATGAAGTTAATCAGTTGGAGTTTTCAGCTTCATCTTATGAATAAATTTCAAAAATTTGGGGGGAAAAGTTGAAAAATTAAAAAAAAAAAATTTTAATTTCTTTTTCTTTTTTCTTTTTTTTCGTCTTCAAAAATGTTTTCCGTTTTGAATATTTTTTGCAATAACTGATACAAATGCCAAAACGCTACCTTTTTGTTTGGATTCTTTGGTCACATCACGCCGAAAAAAACGACATCAATTTGAAAAAAAAATTTTATGGTATTTTTAAGACTAGTCGGAACATTCTGTGCTACTTACACAGTAACCGGCTATACTTGTTTAAAAATTGGTATCTCTTTAACGGGGATTGGGTCTTTATCCACTTGAATTTGATTGGTACTTAATATAATCAGGACCAAAAAGTTAAAACCGTTTAGATAATAAAGAAAACTCGGACCATTTTCTTAAAAAATTTTCTTCTGTTTCCATAAATGTTTTCAACAATGTGGTTAGAATACTGAGTTAGTTATTCTGAAAATTAAAAAATCAATAAATCACAATGTCGGCTTATACTTATTGAAATACTAAACGTAGTATTTCAATAAGTATTTCAAATGACCCGTTGTTTTGCTGGTGTATCTACGAGATCTTTCGGGATCGGATAGAGCATTTAAATCAAGTCCCTCATACCTGTTGCTTATGTTAATCAAACAGCTGTTTAGAAGCAATAACGGTTAGTTTCTTCATGATTAATGCATTGAGAGACCGTTCAAATAGTGTTTGATCTGCAGTGTATTCCTTAGTATGTATGAGTAAGAAACTCATGCAAATTACTGATTCGGTGGTTTTATGAATGCTTGAGTGTCAATAATCGTAAACTGATTTTGCCAATGTTTAGTTCACCAAATTATCCGAGACGTATTAAAGAGCAGTCGGAAGATTCATAGCTTTGCCCTGATAAAAGCAGTTTTTTTGAGTTAATAAACGTAGAAATAAGAAATAAACTTTGACCATATTTCAGAGAAAAATTTTCTGGATTTCCATCTTCGAAGTAGAAGTCTCATTGTTCTTCGAAATTGATTTACTAAATATTGACTTTTTTCGAATACAGACAACAGTATTTTGCAGAAGTAAGTCAGTGTTTTTGTTGGTTCTTAGGAAGATTTCGTGGACCTAGGAAAATCTGTAGAGAACGGTGTGAGCCCTGGGGATATTGTTTTCACCTGAGCACTTTTTGGCTTCTCCTTGCCCATTTAACTATGATTGCTAAATAATACAGATGTATTCTTATAACACAGGGAGTAGGTTGCCGTGTAAGTAGTACAGAACGCTGAGACCTAAAAAGTAGAAAAAAATAGTATGAGAGGAAAAGTACCGCATGTAAAAAAGCAGTAATTTTTTTGTAAATTTTTTTTCTAAATTTCTTCTTGTTTAAGGAAAAAAACTTATCGAACTAGGTTTAAATTGCAAGACTCATAGGTAATACAAGCTAAAAAAAATATACACAATAAAGTAATATTCGCAAGCTAGAGTCAGTATGTCACTTAATTTCCTTTAATTTAGTCTAAAATTTGGGGAAAACATTACATCAGTTTTTCACGACATTGAGGCAACTTGTTGAATCTATATTGGACTTCAACTACAACCAAAACGATTTTATTAAAAGCTTATTTTTAGGCCATACGTATTTTTTAAGCTACTTGAATTACCAAACCTTGGAGTCGTTGGGTCGAGAGTGTATGGAAACACAACACACAGCATATTGCCAATTTAGGTCAGTTTTTGAGATTGCGTCAATCCCAAATACTGATTTTGGAAAGTTTACGCCGAATAAATTAAATAATTGTATTCCATGGCTTGAGAGTGTTTGGAAACACAAGGCACTGCATATTGCCTAGTTAGGTCAGTATTTGGGATTGCATCAGTATTTGCGATCGAAGTTCAGATCAAAGTAGGTCAGTATTTGGGATCGGTAGGTCAGTGCTTGGGATCGAAGTTGACAGGATTTGAGATCGAATTTGGGTTGACAGGAACTGAGAACAAACATTTCAACTGGTAGTTGATCAATCCAGTAATAGTAATTGAGATCGATTTTTTCTGTTGACCAGTATTTAAAAGATATAATTTTAAACGCTATACTACACATATACATATATTTAAACGGAATCCGCAAACAAAATGCGGCTTCCATTTACAATTTGCGCATTCCTTTTAGACGTTGCGGATTCCACTTACAGTTGCGGAATCCGCAACAGCTCATTTTAACTATACAAATGTCTTATTAAATGTTTGTGGATTCCACAAACTGTTCTGGATTCCACAAGTACGGTTGCGGATTCCGCCAAATTGCTTTTTTGGAGCAATTTCGAGCGGTACAGTGTTTTAGGTATTTGTTTGCGGAATCCAAAACTGCAAAGACGATCAAAGAAAAGTAGCAAAGTTGCGGATTCCGCTTACAATGCACAGAATGCACAGTTTGACCTCGTAATGATTGAAAAGTATACATTTGGATCGAGTGCATCCCTTCAGATAGACCAAGTTAAGATAAAACAGCGCGAGTTGATGAAAAGCTTGTACAAACTTAATGTTCTACGAAAAAAATCTGATTGAATGTAACAAGGATAGCCGGTTACTGTGCAAGTAGTACAGAATGTTCCAACCAGTCTTAATAAAATTACAATTTTTTTTTCAAATTAGTGTCGCTTTTTTGGCGTGGCGTGATAAAGGAATTTGAGCGAAAAAGTAGAACTTAGGTATTTTCGTCAGTCATTGAAAAATATGCAAATTGGAAAACAGTTTTTGAAGACAAATAACAAGAAAAACAAAAAAAATTAATCATCGGGTACCGCAAACAATCATCGGACTGGATTAAGTGATATATCTTATCAAAGCCCTTTAAGTCGTGATTCGAACAGATTAAAGAACTTCAAAAAAGTTTTACCACTGTCAAGAAAAACCGGTCCGAAATTTTTAATTTTTCGCCTAATTTCGAGCAATGAGCTGACTTACATTAGCTTATTTATGTTTAATTTAAGGCTTGAATTTTTATTTTTACTCAAATGAAGTTAATCAGTTGGAGTTTTCAGCTTCATCTTATGAATAAATTTCAAAAATTTGGGGGGAAAAATTGAAAAATTAAAAAATAAAAATTTTAATTTCTTTTTCTTTTTTCTTTTTTTTCGTCTTCAAAAATGTTTTCCGTTTTGAATTTTTTTTGCAATAACTGATACAAATGCCAAAACGCTACCTTTTTGTTTGGATTCTATGGTCACATCACGCCGAAAAAAACGACATCAATTTGAAAAAAAATATTTTATTGTATTTTTAAGACTAGTCGGAACATTCTGTGCTACTTACACAGTAACCGGCTATACTTGTTTAAAAATTGGTATCTCTTTAACGGGATTGGGTCTTTATCCACTTGAATTTGATTGGTACTTAATATAATCAGGACCAAAAAGTTAAAACCGTTTAGATAATAAAGAAAACTCGGACCATTTTCTTAAAAAATTTTCTACTGTTTCCATAAATGTTTTCAACTAAGTTTTTTGTTTTTAGGAAACTGTTCAACTCATAACAATGTGGTTAGAATACTGAGTTATTTATTCTGAAAATTAAAAAATCAATAAATCACAATGTCGGCTTATACTTATTGAAATACTAAACGTTATTTCAATAAGTATTTCAAATGACCCGTTGTTTTGCTGGTGTATCTACGAGATCTTTCGGGATCGGATAGAGCATTTAAATCAAGTCCCTCATACCTGTTGCTTATGTTAATCAAACAGCTGTTTAGAAGCAATAACGGTTAGTTTCTTCATGATTAATGCATTGAGAGACCGTTCAAACAGTGTTTGATCTGCAGTGTATTCCTTAGTATGTATGAGTAAGAAACTCATGCAAATTACTGATTCGGTGGTTTTATGAATGCTTGAGTGTCAATAATCGTAAACTGATTTTGTCAATGTTTAGTTCACCAAATTATCCGAGACGTATTAAAGGGCATTCGGAACATTCATAGCTTTGCCCTGATAAAAGCAGTTTTTTTGAGTTAATAAACGTAGAAATAAGAAATAAACTTTGACCATATTTCAGAGAAAAATTTTCTGGATTTCCATCTTCGAAGTAGAAGTCTCATTGTTCTTCGAAATTGATTTACTAAATATTGACTTTTTTCGAATACAGGCAACAGTATTTTGCAGAAGTAAGTCAGTGTTTTTGTTGGTTCTTAGGAAGATTTCGTGGACCTAGGAAAATCTGTAGAGAACGGTGTGAGCCCTGGGGATATTGTTTTCACCTGAGCACTTTTTGGCTTCTCCTTGCCCATTTAACTATGATTGCTAAATAATACAGATGTATTCTTATAACACAGGGAGTAGGTTGCCGTGTAAGTAGTACAGAACGCTGAGACCTAAAAAGTAGAAAAAAATAGTATGAGAGGAAAAGTACCGCATGTAAAAAAGCAGTAATTTTTTTGTCAATTTTTTTTCTAAATTTCTTCTTGTTTAAGGAAAAAAACTTATCGAACTAGGTTTAAATTGCAAGACTCATAGGTAATACAAGCTAAAAAAATATACGCAATAAAGTAATATTCGCAAGCTAGAGTCAGTATGTCACTTAATTTCCTTTAATTTAGTCTAAAATTTGGGGAAAACATTACATCAGTTTTTCACATTGAGGCAACTTGTTGAATCTATATTGGACTTCAACTACAACCAAAACGATTTTATTAATAGATTATTTTTAAGCCATACGTATTTTTTAAGCTACTTGAATTACCAAACCAATGCGATCGTTCCTTCCCGTCCCCTTTAGGGTGGTCGGAACAAAAAGATAGTTAAACTTGCGACCAGCAAGAGTATTGCAATCGGGTAATGTAACTTTTTTCTGCGAACAATTTTTTGGCACGATAATCATTGTGAAAATCTTAAGTCGTGGTCAAAAAAACTTTCGGGAAAACAATTTTTTGTCGGGGCTTTATGGGTTTCGCCACAGTTTTCATGTCGCCTTGTTTTGTTTATGTAAATATTTTAAAGTTTGCTTTTGGTTTTTCAGTTATTGAATTCCGAAGACCGTAAATGTGATTGATGAGTTTTTGTGGTTTATATACGATAACTTTTTCTATTAGAAAAACATATTCTAGGATTTCTGTTCAATTTTTCTTGCATCAAAATTTGGTTTGAATGTTTTGTAACTTTGTTTTTTGATCTGAAATTTCTCTGAATTAATTTAAAGCAAGTTAGCGTCAGAAATATGTTTAAGCAATTTCATTTTAAATCGGTTCAAATCAGTTCATTTAATTTTAGTCATGAGAATTAAATAAATTGAGTTTTTGTAGCTCAACTCCTTCTTATGTTTGAGTTTTATAATTTCACAAGTTTTAGTTTTTATGTCTTAGGTTTATATTCAAATTGAAATTATGAAGAGTGCAAAAAGTTTTTTTTTGAATGGTTAGGCGACAATTACCTAATAGAATTCAATCAGTTTTATTATATTTCTTCTTATCATTATATTCGTCCCGACTGGCTTTTTTGTACTTTTTTTGAAAAGTTCAGCATAGAACCTGGATTTAGATGTTTTGCAGCGAACAGACGCAAGCTATCAGCTGTCAAAAAAAATGATTTCAATTACTTGGATTCTACCCTTTTTAATTTTTTCTCCATTTTTACCCTGACGGCGGATGAGAATGACTGTCCGTTTTTCCGTATAACCAAACGCTTGGCTTTCTTCTGGATTAAACTAACAGTTGCACGTGCTGTTAAATTAGACAAAATTATCTGCGCTTTGGCTGGTTTGAAAAGTAGTTTTTTTTTATATAACTCGAATTTTGAATGAGCGGTTACGTTCATCAAAGCAAGTTATAAAATAAAAATAAAAAAAGTGTACAGCAAGCTGTCTAATATAATTTATTTGGCTCGCTAGTTTTGTTTGTATACAAAACTGTGTCCTTATACATTTCTTATACTTAAATTGTGGTATGGATTCTCCGAAGACACCTCCTGAGTTTGAGCCAATCCAGGTCGACCACTATTGGGGTCACGTGCATCATGTAAGTCCTCGAAACAATTTTCAGCACCAAATCGAGATGCAGATCCTAAATTCATTACGAGATAATTTTTTGTTTTGACGTTAAAACTAGCGCTATTTTGTGCATAAATTCAATTAGTCTCTCTCAGGGGCGGATCAAGGATTTTCAAGAAGGGGGGGGGCGGACTTTCAAAAAAAAAATTTCGAAAATTTGTCGACCTTTTTTTTAGGTCGACCAAATTGATTTTCCGAGCTCTCCCAAAGCACTAAAAAGACCTTGTTTTGGCCAAAAATTCTGCGCCGCAGGCAAAATGTTTGAAAAACAGGCCAAAAAAGGCGTTTTTTGGCCCTTTATAGAAAATTTTGATCAAAAGTTCGCGTTTTTTTGGAGCGCGCTCCCCACTCAAAATTGGTATATATTGGCGCGGAAGGCGCCTTTAGAAAAATTTTAGGGTTGGTCGGCCAAAAATATATTTCTTAAAAAGAGAAAAAAAGGCGTCCACAAGCCCCCCCCCCCCCCCGCCCCCCTCTAAATCCGTCCCCGGTCTCTCTTGATAATTCATTTTTTGTTAACTGCAAGGTCCCATAACCTTGAAAGCTTGTAGTCATTAAACTAGTCGAAAAATTTTCCTGTTAAAACCCTTAATTTTTTTAAATCAAAAAAGACCAACCCAATGAACTGAAAGTTCGCTTATTTTTTCGTTCCCTCGTGAATATTGGGTTTTATCTAAAGTTAGTCTAAAGTTTTCCTAATTAGTACAATTAATTTAAGATTTGGAGTTTTTTTACAGGTCACGGCTCTTCTGGTGCTGAACAACGGCTCCTGCGTCATCACAGGCTGCGCAGACGGAATAATCAGGGTCTTCATGAAGGACAAACCCCACACTCTAGTAGCACAAGTGAAAGTACACCTTGAAGGTCAAGTCAACTGTCTGACTACTTCTGAAAACGACTCACTTATCGCCTCGGCTGGTCACGACCGCGCCATTGCTTTGATACGATTTGCAGATATGACAGTGCTGAAAACTTTCAAAAGTACATTTAGTTTTTTTTGTAATTGATATTTTTTTAAACAAAAAAATCGTTTTTTTTTAAAATTAAATGTGATTATTAAAAGAAACTTTTCAACAGTTTTTTAACAATTAACTTTAAGATAAGTTTTAACAATTAACTTTAAGATCAAAAATTTCATCAAACGCTTTTCGTCGATTTTTGAAAGACGTTGAATCTATTTTCCTTAGATCACAGGAAACAAATTACAGACGTGAAGATTTCGAAAGACGTGAAAACTTTGTGCTCAGTTGGATGGGATAAGCGAATCAATTTATATGACATTCAGGTATAATCTTACTTTGTCTAAGTTTTTCAAATATAAACCAAATATTTGTTTTAGACATTTTTTTGTAATTTAGAAATTGAGAAAAATACTGACGCTCACAATAGATGGGACCCCGCTCAGCTGTTGTGCGTTTTCCTTCAAAAACAATATGGTGGTAAGTGATAAACTATCTCTGTAAGTTTATTAACAATCTTGTCATTAAATAGCCAAAATTTTCGAAGCAAAAAACTGTGTAAGATATCTTGAGAAGTCGATCCCCGTAAAAAGTACCAATGAAAGAAAAACTGAGTCTAGCGAAGACGACGATTTATAACTAGATCTCAAAACTGTCAACAAACGACTTATCGTTCCAGGCCACCGGAACATGGGGAGGACTTGTTAAAGTGTTTCCTGTGAACAAACTGCCCAAAATAACAGAAGAAGACGCAACTACTCTGAACGATCACAAGTCTAAGATCACATCAATTGCATTCTCTAGAGCAGGCATGATGGTGAGTCATCTTCTTATCACCCCCTCCTCCCCCTTCTCCGCAGCTGCATCATTTAATCAGTTGAGTCAATTTTTTCTAAAGAGTAAAAACACAAGCCCTCTCTTATAAATTATACCTTGCAATCAAAGGGGTGAACATTTGGTACTACTTATTTTTAAACCGTTAAATATTTCAAAACGCACGCGCCTTTTTTGCTAATATACATTACTTTTGAAGTCGGTTGATGATAACCAAGAACAAAAAACATTTTTGTTCACAATCTTTAAATAAGTTCCCTAAAATAATCGAATGGGATAATTTAAAAGAATGCCAAGTAACTTCTTATGGTGAAATTGATGGAATTGTAAATGTGGTTTTGTTTTTCTTAGGCGACTGGTTCATACGATAGCCAAGTGCACATTTACCACTACAGGGGTTTCTACTCTCTCTTCAGTTTCTGCCCAGATGGGGGGTGGGTCCGCAGCATGGCCTTTTCCCCTGACAGCCTCCTATTGGCCACGTTGACGGACGCTGACTTCATGGTTTGAACCGCAGTTTTGCAATAATAGATTATTTTTAACTATTTGGCAAGCAGGCTGTATGTAACGTTTTTGGCAAGCAGGCTTTATGTAATGCAAGCCATTTCAGCCGTGATTTAAAGAAACGTCAAAAAGTTGTCTCTGTTCTACAAAAAAAACTGGGTTTAAATTTTATTTTGCGTTTTTTGACACGAACTTTGCGTTTAAATTTTGCGTTTTTTGACAAAATGACACAAAACTTACGAACGACACAAAACTCCCAATTCATTTCAATGCAATTTTTACTATCATAATTTAGCTATTATTGTCTCAAATTTTAATCGCTTTTGACTTAATTTTATCAACTACAATCCGTTTAATGAAAAAACAATAATTGGCAAAAAAATTTAATTTTTTCAGGTTTTCGAGTTTCCTTAATATAATCTTTGTGGTCCGCAGAACTTTTTCTACTTGCAGAACCACCGGTTATTCTTTTTTAAATTTAGGTGAAGTGCTGGGATGCTGTAACACAGGAACTAGAATTCAGCTATCAGGTGAGCTTCAAATTCACGACTGAATTAATCTAGAAGGAAATCAGGTGCAAGTAAGAGTTTTTTCATTCTTGGGACGTAAGAGCGTGAGACTTGTGGGATAAGATGACGTGCAATCTAAGTGAGGAAGTTTTCGTGCAATCTGTAGTATAAATTGAATTTTAGATATCTATCAATTCGCCCAAAAAGGTTAGCTGGTCATTTTAACAAACGCGAATTTGTAGTTTATTACTTATTATATAAAGAACTTTATACATTGTAGAAAATATATATTGCCTATTATATCTAGATTATTAAATAGTTGATAAAAGTTCTACAAAAACATACTTAGTATTTGGCATGGTAATAATACTAAGCATTTTATCATCTTCATCCTGTAGCTCATTTCGGGACTTTCGGTTGTACACAACCCCCCCCCCCCCCCCCCATATGATGAAAACAGAAAAACAAAATCAGACTTCTAAAATTGGTTCAATATTATATGAAAATGTATATTACGCGTGAATGTTCGCGGCTAACTCTTTTCAAAATAAAGTGAGTTGAGATTCAATAAAATAAAGAAAAACATTTTGCTGGGAAACCCGTAGATAACTGTATATAACCAAACTAAACGACGTCACCATATCTTTCAATCATAAATCTCTATCAAGTCTGGTAAAAGGCGTTTGTTTTTAATTTTCATGGTAAAACTTGTTCATCCCCGACTATAATTGAAATCTTAAGTATCTGAATAGTTTAAAAAATTCGCGAGGATAGATAAAACATGATTACGCAGCAGTATTTTGACAACCGCGTATTCATACTCGTCACTAAGCAGACAAACACTATACTAACCAATCAGAATCGAGACAAGGAAGAAATTATTGAATAATAATTATTTATTTCGTATGTTAGCTTTCTCATCTCGATTCTGATTGGTTAATACAGTATTTTTCTGCTTACTAACAAGTATGAAAACGTGGTTGTCTATATAAAGACCGCACTCCGATAAAAATTTAGGTGTTATTGGTTTTTGTCTGAAATAACATCAAAACAAAGGAACTATTGCATGCCTATAGTTTTGGATCTACGCTCTTCTGATAGATAAATATACGTTACAAAAGACACTTTTAGTTTGTTTTCACTACTAATGTCGCCGCATAAGCCCTAAACTGGGTGGCGTCCTTCATGCTTGAAATTAATTTAGCTCAGTTTCAGCCAATCAGAATTGAGTATTCAAAATCTCAAAGTAAATTGCAAAAATCTCAAAGTAAGAAAATAAATCCAGGCCATTAGTGTTAATATTGACCGATTATATAATAAGCTGATGAGTTTTCAATACTTAAAAATTCTTATGAACTTGAACTCATATATCTTGATGTTTATCTGAAAAGTATTTCGTTTTAACCCGCAATTGGTAATGTTTTTGATTCTTTTCCATTAATTTAATACATTTTCTGTTAATATTGACTTCGATTTTGTGAGAAAGGCATTTAGCCAATAGGAACGCTTAGCGATTTTGATTGGTTAAAATCTTTCAAGCAATCGGTCCCTCAACCATGAGAACCTTCCCCCTAAACTGTAAAGAAAGCGTGCCGGAATTCAAGACGAGTTGTTAAATTAGGAACTTAAAGCCGAGCTTTTTCCGAAAAACCATGAAGGCAGGGGCGGATTTAGGGGGGGGCGGGGGGGGGGGGCGGACGCCCCTTCCTCAGGGATTCGACCCCCTGCCGACCCAAAGGGTCCCCCCTTTGATACTTTTTCAGAAATCCCTTTTTGGCTGACCGACCCTAAAATTTTTCTAAAGGCGCCTTTGGCGCCAATATATACTACCTTTGAGGGGGAGCGCGCGCCAAAAAAACGCTTTTTTTTGTCAAAATTTTTCAAAAAGTGCCCAAAAACGGCTTTTTTTGACTGTTTTTTCAAAATTTGCCTGCGGCGCAAAAAACTTGCCAAAATAGGGACAAAACAGTGCTTTGGGAGAGCTCGAAAAATCAATTTGGTCGACCTAAAAAAACAAAGGTCGTCAAAATTTTGGAAAATTTTTTGAAAATCCGCCCCCCCCTCGAGAAAATCCTAGATCCGCCCCTGCATGAAGGTTCAATAATTTGAAAACATTCTTGAAAAATATCTCAATTTCAGTATTTTTTCTACTAGTTATTAGCTTTTTCATAAACTGTGAACCTTTAATTGATATTTGGGATTGTTAAAAACCGAAACATTGCTGAAGGGATTTCCCTGTCTTGTGCATTCCAAAATCCGTTTCTAAGTGGCGCTCTGTCATGAATAAAGCTCCCTTTTGACTAAATTTGCTTCTGATTATGAAAACTATTGTTTTACATATGAAAAAATTAGCTTTTTGAGGTTCTCGTAGAGTTGAAACTTTGACCTTAAGTCCGTCGACTTGAAGTCCCAATGGCCTTTTATCCTATAGAAGCGTAAAAAAGTCAGAGCAGACAAACGTGGTAAAATCTAAATTTGATTGGCTGAAACAAGACACGCAGCGTCGTTTTGAAATCTTCATTCAAGATTGGTTTTTAAACTTTTTGTAAAACGGAAAATAATCAAACAGATAAGTGTATGAAAAAAGCTTGCCTTAAGTTGTCTAAAATAAATTTGGCACCTTTTACTTAACGGATTTTTTTTTAATCCTGCAGGCTTGTTTGTTTACTAAGCAGTCCAATTACAGCTATAAAATTTTTAAATTGTTTTTTTTGGTTCATTTGGTCAGATCAAAAAAAATTATAAAAATTAGTTCCCTTTTTATCTGCAAAAGGAACTAAGGTCTCACAAGAACTGCTGATTGGTTAGAATAGAACATATTAATTTGGATGCTGAGTGTTACTTTAACGCTTAAAGTCACAATTGAAGTCAAGGACCAAATTAACATCTTCTTTTTTACAGCAATTTTATGGGGGCAAATCAGAATGAGCATTTTACACGCTTCTGAGCCATTTTTTTTCAAAAAATTGTTTAAAAAAATCGAATTGAATAAAAATGAAAAAAAAAAATTATACCAACTAAAATTAAATAGCATTAATTCAATACCATATTACATAAATTACATTAATTAATTCAAAACAAAATGAAACGATGACGTTTGTTGAAAAATAATGGATTATAATCGATTAAAATGGATTATAATTCAATAAAATTTGAGAATTTTTTTTTTATGATCGATTATAATCGATTATAATCAATTATAATGTTTTTTCTTGTTTCGAAAATGGGGGAAAGCTAAATTGACCTGAAACACACTCTACGTCATAGTTGTAAAACTTGATCTTGAATAGTGTCATACCTCAAGGTTCTAAACACCGAATCCGAACAGATTGGTAAACGAGAATCCGCAAATGGACGTAAGCAAAACAAATATTCTATAAATCGTTTATTTAGAATCTGAGCTTTTAGCAAAGACACATGGTTATTTGATGCCAGGCCAACTGACCAACATAAACTACTCAGCGCAGTGAGTCTATAAATATGAATACTTAGAACTAGCTAAGCTTACCAATCCGTAACGGATGACAAATAGCTTGATATTTGACATTTTTCTATAGCTCTCGCCATGTTCGTGTGAAGCTAAATCACTTAATTGATACCTTTTAGGTCCAAACTGAAGATCTGTTGCTGTGTACTTTCCTGAATGACGGGCGACTCATTGCTGCTGGCAGTTCACCCAGCTGAATCGAACCATTGGATTGACTTTTTCAAAACTTTTCCCACTAATTTCAACTTGGTTCCAGTTTAAGTCCTTTTATTTAATTAATTCTCATTCGATAAATTGTTCTTCATCAACTGATAATTTAGGTTTATTTTGCAAACGTTACTAAAAATTAGTAACTGAAAACACGAAAAATTCAAAATTATATTAACACTTTTTCATAGCTTAATTACAGTTAGGTCGAATTAATATTGTTCCGACATACCAAAAATGCGGAATACTTATGCTTGGGATGTTTCTTTTATTCAGTCAAATTTCAGCAATCGAAATAATAATTTTGCCTAATATTTTTAAAGCCCCATTGAAGATATCAACTGCCTGAGCTCAAATGTAAAAAAGTGGATCAACCGTACAATCTCTCTCCCCCTAAGTGACCTACCGTAGAATGCCCTCCTCAAGCATGTATTATTTCTGAAACATAGTTATGTATAAAATGGTACCGCGACAACTCGCAAGAAAACACAACTCGCAACAAAAGACAACTCGCAAAGTTCAAGGAAAGCGACAACTCGCAAGTTTTTGAAGCTAATTGAAAACTTTATGTTCTCGGTTTAAGGTCGCGTTTTAAGATATCGTTTTTTGTTCTGATTTTTGGAGAAAAAGAAGAATTATTTGTGCTCGGTGAAGTTTTTTCTAAAATTTTAAGAAACAATTATAGCCGCTGGAAAATTGCGAAACGAGTTACTCAACTTTGAACTTTGCATACCCGGGTTGACGTACAAAGAAGAAAAATGCTTATCATACGAAATTCATACGAAATTTAAAAAGTGTTTTAAATAATTTTGAGGAAAAATTGTGGTCTATTTGCTTCTTTTGAAGCTTTCTGGTTATTAGAAAAAATGATTTTAAATTTTCGATAAAAATGCTTGTCATAAAATTTTCATGTATGAAAACTATAAGATAATCATTTTGTCATTGAAAAAACAAAGTTTTCAAAAATCAACAAAAAACAGGTCTGGGTAACTTTATATAGATTTAAATAATTATATCTAAGACAGAGGGAATTTTGACAATAAAAAACATAATTTTCATTCGGTCGGAAAAAATGCTTATCATATAGCTTTCAAATATGAAAATTGGATGATATGCTTTTTTTTCATAAACAAAAACATAAATTTGAGTTAAAAAACGTTAGATCCCTTTTTGGTGGCAAACTTGTTTTGTGCTGAAATATAAATTCAACGAAAAAAACTTTTGCAAGCAAAATTTGACTTTTTGTGATTATAACGTAGTTCAGGATGAGTTTTTCACCAAAAAATTTCAAAAAATATAAAAATGTGTTTTTTTGTGGACAAGATTGTTATTTTTTTGTTTCATTTGCTAAGATAAAAACAAATTTGTAAAAAGCAGGCTTTTTTGTCAACCATTAAAATTTTCAAACTAAAATTTATCTAGCTATATTCAAAAAGTTACATTTTTGGTATTTAATGCCATGTGAAATTGTTAAAATCAAATTACACGGCTAAAATCACCAAATGTAGTTTACCTGCGTGCTAACTGACAGTTACACTCTGGGTTTTCTTATGACAAAAAATCCTTGGCTAGTGTTTCGGCTGACACACAAAATCTAAAACAAAATAATATTGAAATTTCATATATGGAAAAAATGCTTATCATACAATTTCATAATATGGACAAAATGCTTATCATGCTATTTTCATACAATTTTCTGGATAAAAAACTGATCAAAAATTTTCAAATTTTTTTCAGAGTATGTAAAAATGCTTGTTTCAAAATTTCATAGTAAGGAAAAAATGCTTATTTGCTATTTTCATACACTTACTTTTGCTCTATAAAATTGTATGAAATAGTATGATAAGCATTTTTTTCATGTATGAAAATTGTATTATAAGCCTTTTTCTCAACCCGCGTAAGGTGTGGGAGGAATATTTTCAAAAAAATTCAAAACGGAAATTTTTTCGTGAAGTTTTATCAACTTTTCAACTTCTCAAAAACAAGGGTTTTTTCCTTGACGCCTTGAGGTGCAGTCGGAATATTCAAGATTTAATCCTGGTACGATCGTCAATTTTGTCGCATTTTCAGTGGCTTGAAGGTCATACTGAGTATTTTTAACTTGAATCTGTATAACTTGAGTTTTGAAGGATTTTGGTAAAAAGTCACGCGAAATTAGTTGAATCCCTTTGGAATTTTGAATTATTATAGGAATCTATTAAAGAAAGCCACGGGTTGACAAAAAAAACTTAACATACTCTTTCATACAATTTCATAGAGCAAAATTATAGTATGAAAGTAGCAAAATAAACATTTTTCCATACCGGAAATTTTATAGCAAACATTTTTTCCATACTCTGGAATTAAATTTTTCGCTTTTTCGTCGGTCTTTTTATCCCGAAAATTGTGTGAAAAGTGCATGATTAACATTTTTCGCATACTATGAAATTGTATGAGAAGCATTTTTTCCATACTATGAAATTGTATGATAAACATTTTCCCATAAATGAAAATACAAAAAAAATTGTTTTGAAATTTTGTGTTTCATCCGAAAGACTAACCAAGAGTTTTTTGTCATTAAAAAAATCATAATGTAACTGGCAGTTATCACGCAGATAAACTGCATTTGGTGATTTCAGCCATGAAAGTTAATTTTAACATTTTTGCATGGAATTATATACCAAAAATATAGCTTTTTGTATATGGCTAGATAGTTTTTGGTTTGTAAATTTTGATGGTTGAGAAGAAAATGCCTGTTTTTTTACAAATTGTTTTTATCTTAGCAAATAAAACTAAAAAAGAACAAAATTCGTGTTCACAAAAAAAAATTTGTGATTTTTGGATTTTTTGCTTCAAAAACTTATCCTGGACTTCGTTATAAACACAAAAACTCAAATTTTGCATGCAAACTTTTTTCATAAAGTTTGTATTTGAGCATAAAAGCAAGTTTGCAAGCAAAAAGGATTAAGAATTTTTACTTCAAATTTGTGTTTTTGTTAATGAAAAAACTGCATATCATAAAAAATTTTTTAATGAAAACTATATGAAAAGCATTTTTTCCGACCGAAAATAAATTTTTTTTTTGATTGTCAAAATGCCCTCTATCTTAGATATAACTATTTAAACCTATTTAAAGTTACCCAGGCATGTTTTTTGTTGATTTTTGAAAACTTCATTTTTTTAATGACAAAATTGTTATCTTATAATTTTCATACATGAAAATTGTATGATAAGCATTTTTTTATCGAAAATTTTAAATCATTTTTTTAATGGCCAGAAAGCTTCAAAATAGGCAAATATAACAAAAAACATTCCTTAAAAGTTTTTAAAACACCTAAATTTTGTATGAATTTTGTATGAGAAGCCTTTTTTCCATAGATTTCCTTTATGAAACTGTATGATAAGCATTTTTCTTCTATGGACGTCAACCCCGGTCTCTTATAGGAATCTACTTCAAATTTTTACTCGCAATCTTTGCTTCAAAAAGTATACAGGAGCGGATACAGGGGGGGGGGGGAGCCAAGCCCCCTCAGGTATTCGATTTTCTGACTACCCAAAGGATCCCCTTTTGGTACTATTTGAGAAAGGGTCTTGCCTATCCTGCATTATGCCTCCACCTATCTCCTCATATCTGCCATGAGCTAGATTCTGCGATCCAAATCCGAGTCTCGATAGTCCTCCTCCATCGTCTTTGATTGAATCGATGTTCGGAATTCAGGCCGTGATCGGAGATACTGCATCAATTTTGATGACTTGTTTTTCAGAGTCCTAATGGGACAACAAGCTGAAGCACTTTCATTGTTCTGACTGCCTGAAGTTTTTGCTCTGGTGGCTATGCTTGAGGGGCATGTTTTCGGGCCATTATTGGATGTATGATTGTAGCGCCTGACTTCGGGCTGAAGCTCTAGCTCTCTCTGTTTGCCGGATAGACTCGCGCCAACTGATTCGCTGTAGCAGCGCTGGAGACAGTAGCTGGTTGATTTTCCAAGACATCTTCAAAAGCAAATTTAGGACGGTGTCCTCTCAGTACGAGGCCAAACTGTGAACTGGATAGGCGCACAATTTAGTGCGTGTATGTCTCTGGAATCCAAAGACAAGTCTGTAAACATGTTAAAATTTTGTCAGAACGATCTCAATACGCAAGAGAACAAAAAAGAACAAAAGAGAGCGTAATCCGCGCTTACAATTAACAAAACACACAGTTTGGACTCCTATAATGCCCATGGGTGTATTGTAACGACAACTAATCTCACGAGATCTGACTCATCTGAAATACTTGAACAAATTTAAAAATCTACAAGAGCCAACAATTCAAGGTGAATACAACGATCCGAAGTCTAATTGCTTGAGGATCCTGTCGGAAAAACAATAAAATCAAATCCCAGAAAACATAGCAAATTTACCTTAATTGGTAAGGTGTTTTAAGGTATTTTTAAGGTAAATTTACCTTAACTTTTTTTTGAGTGCACCCTAGCGTAGGTTATTCCTAATTACCAGCAATTTTGCAGGAAAAGGAAGCTTCCCGTGTCACCGTGTCATCCCATTCCTATACCTCATTTGAGATCTTTATCGGTCCAACCATTATAAAAGTGATACGTTGTATATGCTTTTGGATGCTCTGGTGACTGGTTTTGATGGCTCTGGTGAGCAGTACTGCTGCATTACGAGGCTTAGATGTGGCATTTGAGATCAAGCGGGTTCGATGGTAATCAGTAACGGCAGTTAATTCCTTCAAGGTCTCTTGTTCTTGCGGAAACACATGACAATTTCTTGCTCAAATACAATCAATATTCTCGAAAACACCAACACCAACATCAAAACAATGTTATTTCTGCATAAATTATTTTAAGAAAACGTTTAGGTATGTTTTTTAATCTAAGAACAAACCTTGATTTTGGATGTTTTAATTTGGTTCTGATAGCTCATTTCGATTAACAAGTTAGCCAGATCATTTTATATAACTGTTTTTTCAGGAATAATCAACTGAACAAGAATTATTTTTGATTACGCTAATAAAGATATGCGTCTATTGAAAATTTTCGATAGTGCGTATTTGATGAAACCGCTGGTTCAATTATAAAAAATGACTTCCCGGGTTCATCAAAAATGCTGGTCATACAGTTTTC